AGAGTTGCTGTGATGTTATAAAATATCACTAATTTCTTTACCCGGTTATTAGCATATTCGGGAGATTTAACCGAGGGTCCTTTTTGATGCAAATTCTATCTTTTTGCTAAATGGGCACGTGCATATGAAACGTGGAAACAATGCCAGTGAATAATGAGGACGCTCACTTGTAAACACAAAATCTGGAGGTAAAATTGGTTATATTTGAGGCCCTATTTGAAAGCCTTCTCTGTTTTCGATATTCTTAAAACTTGCAGGGTATATTTATAGACGATTGATCTCGGTATTGCAAAGTTTATAAAAAAATTTATCGAGCGGTTTTTGGAAAAAAATGCGAAAATTGTAGGCATGGACCAAATTACATGCAAAAACTGTAACAAAAGCAGCTGAATGCAAGTTACTAAGATTCTTCTTACTCGCGATCGCCCGGAGCAATTCTCCTCTTTTTTTGTACGCAGTTTTCAATGGAATCAAACCACTATGAGATGAAGCCGCGTTTCCAAAGCTTATCATTTTCTTAAAAATTTAGCTAATTGTATGGATAGCATGCTATTTCACTGTTTTTATGATGCTTAAAACTTCGTTTCAAAATATCTCGAAAACGCTCTCATAGAATTTGTTCAAACTTTGCCATAACTGAGGCAAATATGGAAGGTACAAACTCCCTTAAGCGATTTCTTAAAAAAACTCTTGGTACAGAGAAACACGAAGATAAATAAAAAACGTAATGGCGTCGTTACGTTGCCATGGCGACTCCGATTGCAATAAAAACCAGATCATAAGAATTTTCATCTTTACATAATACAGTTGTGGTAATCTTTTTTCCATATCTTTACTCGTGGCGACGTAGTTAATGCTCAAACTTGGGAGGTATCCCCACCAAAAAATCCAGTCGAGCCACCTTAAGCGAGATCTGTAAGAGCTTTATCGAGATATTTTGGGATGTTTTTATGGTTAGAAACACAGCAAAAAATGGACAGTCGTGATGTTTTTCGCCGTTATCTGTAGAAAACGAAGCGCTTTTGACATGCAATTTCACCTCCAGTGGTTTCAATCTTTTTTAAATGGTGTGTGAAAGATCATGGAGATAGTTCCAGCCGATTGCTAGAAAGAAGGGTTTAATTAGTATGTATCGATGCGCTTTTGTTCGCGGTAATAATTTTAAAAAAATAGTTAAAAAAAAAATAAGATTCTTGAGATTAACCTTCCTTTTATATGACCTTCTTTATATGCAACATTTCTGCAAAACGAGTTGAATAGCGATGTTGTGCGTTTTACCAATCAATGCAACAAATAAAGTTGAAAGGTTTTAATTCGTGGGTGGTAAAACGCGCAACATCGTCGCTATTCAACTCGTTTTGGAGCAATGGTGCAAAACAAGTTGCATGGGGTTTTTTCCCGTTTTACCGTACCTTTAAACCTCACTGGAATAAACAAAAGAAAATATGCATGAATCTAAGGAATCACGAAAAAGATTCTTGGCATAGTATTAAAATGACGCCATCATGTAAATAGCCTAATGCAACAACGTTGACTTAGAAAAATGACAAAAGGGAATTTTAAAATGTTACCTCTGAAAAATTTGGTACTAGGGATCAGGTCTGAAAAACGGATGAGGCAACAAAAGGTCTTAACCGTGGCCAAATCACCTTCTCTTCTGCAAAGGTGTTGCTAGAATAATACCTCAATGCTGTGGTGTCATTTTTAGTAGACTTTTTCTGTTTTGAAGCAGCGCGATCTTCAAAAGTCGCTATTTTCGGCCTGTGAATCGGTCCAAATTCTACCCTCGGTTGTCTGGAGTCGCTTTGGCTTGTAGCAAAAAAGAAACGAAAGAAATCTAATAAACTAGCCTGGTTTTATTTCATGCATACCCCCTTTGTGAGAAAAATTGTTTCGAATCCAAGTACATGTCTTTTTGTCCTGTGGTTCTTGTATGAACGAAAATGTGGTATTTATAGACAACATATTCCGTCCTCTCTGCAGCCAGTTCGCAGGCTTGTCCTCCCCAACGCACTCATTGTTCAACCAAAAGAAAAGTTTTTTTGGCAAGAGGCAAATTACCTGACATTATGAGAGCCAGGCTGGTTCAATTTGTCGAGAACTTGCCACGTTGCTCCCTCATGGATGGGTTATTGTGATGTGATTGATCTCAGTTTCGTCATTTATATTTCCATGAGCCCATAATGGTCCTGATATTTCTATATATCGGACAGGAGCCGATGGTGTCAGCAGTTGCCTAGCAATAAAACCGATGAGTACTTCCTAGCGCGCTTCTCTGTTCTCATTTGATCATTTTCCAATGTGCTTTCTCTGCATAAATCTTCCTGTTTCTTCTTTGAACGGGAACGGCACCACATTTTTTACGGTGGAGAGAGAAACTACAACCCCCCCCCTCTTTCAACTTTTCTTCGGAAACCGGTACATGCTCCATGATCAGGTTGGCAGATTCATACAAAGACCTTGAGTTTTAAGCCCAGCCCTGGGGACGAGAGAAAAATTTGATTTCTTGAAGGAAACTAATTAAAGTCGCGAATGTGTGGAGTAAATTAAAATATGACCGAAGTAGATCGATCTGATCTCCCCGAGGTCCAACCCCTGACCCTTTTCTATACCATTTTTGAGAGAAATGGTACCCCTTTCGTACACCTTCCACGGACAAATGGTACCACTTTCACATACCTAGCATAGAAAATTGCATCCCTTCTAACTGCTATAAATACGCGGTCTTTATTAAGTATTAATAAATCACAAAACCAGAGCATTTTCTTGAATTTTTCTCAGCCAAAAACTCCTTCTGTAGGTCTTGCCTGTGGACCTCTCTTGAGTCGTTCAACAATTCGATTTCGAGTCCGGGGGAAACTTGAAAAAAAAGCAAGCTTGGGCATTTTAACAAAAAACTAGAATAATATAAGATATGCGACAAATCTTAAGAAAATTAAGAAACATTCTTATCCCGCGTGAGATCTGATGCTGTTACTTCATCGTTTTCAAAAATTTCCATTTTCATCTGTTAGTTAGGAGTTAGGTGAGCGTTTTTATCGGATACACTTGAACGGCAGGCTAATCCACGAAAGAAATTGTTGGCTCACGGGAGATGGTGATCGTTAGAGAATATTCCACTGCGTATCGGCTTGAACCCGAGGGGGAGAGTGTTGTTGTTGTTTAGTCCTTTTTTAACATTCGTCAGAGGGACAACACCCGTTACAGGTACAACACCAGTACTTTTTTCTTAATATTTCATATTTGTGCACGATATATATGAAAAAATAAGATGGGGTTAATAACGAAACAAGCACACGTTTTTCTTACTAATACTTCACAATACTTTTATTTACCCAAGTGTCGATCAGCTGCAATGACTGATGTATGCTTGTTACGGCGGGAACTTGACACGAACTTGTCACAAGTTTCAATAGTAGTCTCAGGATGTACAATTCGCACTGCATGTTAACAAACCTTAACTGAACCGAAACAATGAACATTTTAAAAGTGCAAGTGTAAGCAAAGCTTGTTTCAGTCTTTTATACAATGTAGTTAGTTACTAGTTACATAGAGGATATGGATGGGACTTAACTGAGAGCTGAAAATTGGCCAACATTTTAACCGTCAGCTGAGAAACTGAAGAATCTATTCTTTATTAATCTTTATATAGCCGAGTTCTGAGGTACAAAAATTAACAGATGGCTGAAATATCGGTGAAAGTCTGACTGATAATTATAATATCCAATCATCCCCATTCAGATTCTCTCCTATTTACATGGAGATGGGGGACCCCAGGTAGGTGAGGTAACCCGTGGCGGGTCACCCTACCTATCATGTAAATATCATCAAATTGAAATGAGTGATTATATGGATGGGCGGGTTACCCCACCTACGTAGGTTACTTTTCTGGGGTCCCTCAACTCCATGTAAACAGGCCCTTAGAATGGTTTGCTTCCATCAGTGATCCTGAAAAGTGAGCTTCAAACGTGACTCAATGAAAAAAACACGTGAAACGTGATTTCAAATAACACGTAACATTGCTACGAGAATGACGTCACAAAACAGGTTTTCCTAAACGGGGGAGGGTTGCAAACCTTAATCTTCGGAATTTTCAATACCGAAATGTTACATAAACAGAGTAAATCGTAAATCTGCCTTGTATAATTCGAAATGTTATTTATCCTTTTAGCTATTTAACTAATTAATAAGTCACGTGACCCTTTCCCCTTTATTCACCGACTCCTATATAACCTAAACACACATTCAAGGCGAATTTTTCAGAAAACAACTTGTTGCTCTTTTATTATCCTTTCCCATTTTAGAGTAAATACTTTGACCGTTAATTCTCAATTATCAGTCACGCGACAAAAATTTGAGCTTCTAAAATGTTTCACTAGATATTGCTAAGGCCATTTCAATTTTCAGGATCATTGATAGAAGCAAATCGTTCTAAATAGCATTTTATCAAAATGTGCATATTTAATTAGAGAGTCATGCCTGATAGTCATGTGGACTTACAAAATTAAAGGACTCAGTGTTCACTGTTACTCATTACATGATTAATGAAAAACTGCATCACAAAGCAAGGGATCGAGCTGTTAAAACAGAAAGTTTTCATTTGGCACTTTTCGCAAAAAACTCCTCGGCTTAAAAAGTGTAAAACAAAGGGGTCTGACGGACAGCCCTCTATGTACATATATCTCGATAGCATTCCCTTGCGGGCGAGCGGAGAAGGCGGCTGAAATTCAGGATAATTCCTTTGTTAGCCGATCATGGCATGAACTAGCTTCTTGCCAGGGTCTAACTAAGAAACCAGATTGATCGGATGCCTGATTTTTTTTTTAAATGTTTAAATCCGTTTACGTTGAAAGAACGTGCTGAGTTTTAAAAATAGTACAAAAAGAAAGAAAGAAAGAAAATGAGACTCTGTGAGTAACTAGTATTTTTTGAATTTTCTAATTTCCAACAAAAGGCAAAGAATTAAAGAGACAGAGAAAACTGAACGATATTAAAAACTTTTAACATCGGATACGTTTACCGAGTTCATCGTTTATTTTCTTATAAACAGATTCACTGATGTCATTGCCATGCCCCAAAATTAATTGCTTCAGAGTTGTGTTTGTTTTAAGCGCTGTAGCAAGTGACTCAGCACCGGCAGGACCAATGTTATTGCCAGACAGATGCAAATTTGTCAGAGTTGTGTTTGTTTTAAGCACTGTAGCAAGTGATTCAGCACCGGCAGGACCAATGTTATTACCCCGGAGATCCAAATTTGTCAGAGTTGTGTTTGTCTTAAGCGCTGTAGCAAGTGACTCGGCACTGGCAGGACCAATGTTATTGCCTCGGAGATCCAAATTTGTCAGCGTTGCGTTTGTTTTAAGTGCTGTAGCAAGTAACTCAGCACCGGCAGGACCAATCCTATTGAAACACAGATACAAATTTGTCAGAGTTGTGTTTGTTTTGAGCACTGTAGCAAGTGACTCAGCACCGGCAGGACCAACGTTATTGCCAGACAGATACAAATTTGTCAGAGCTGTGTTTGTTTTAAGCGCTTTAGCAAGTGACTCAGCGCCATCAGGACCAATGTTATTGCTAGAAAGATCCAAATTTGTCAGAGTTGTGTTTGTTTTAAGCGCTGTAGCAAGTGATTCAGCACCGGCCGAACCAATGTTATTGCCATAAGACAGATCCAAATTTGTCAGAGTTGTGTTTGTTTTAAGCGCTGTAGCAAGTGACTCAGCACCATCAGGACCAATGTTATTGCTAGACAGATCCAAATTTGTCAGAGTTGTGTTTGTTTTAAGCGCTTTAGCAAGTGACTCAGCACCGGCCGGACCAATGTTATTGCCATAAGACAGATCCAAATTTGTGAGAGTTGTGTTTGTCTTAAGCGCTGTAGCAAGTGACTCAGCACCGGCAGGACCAATGTTATTGCCATAAGACAGATCCAAATTTGTCAGAGCAGTATTTGTTTTAAATGCTGTAGCAAGTGACTCAGCGCCAGCAGGATCAATGTTATTGCTAGACAGAGCCAAATTTGTCAGAGTTGTGTTTGTTTTAAGTGCTGTAGCAAGTGACTCAGCACCAGCAGGACCAATGTTATTGCTATAAGACAGATCCAAATTTGTCAGAGTTGTGTTTGTTTTAAGCGCTGTAGCAAGTGACTCAGCACCGGCAGGACCAATGTTATTGCCCTGGAGATCCAAATTTGTCAGAGCTGTGTTTGTTTTAAGTGCTGTAGCAAGTGACTCAGCACCGGCAGGACCAATGTTATTGCCCTGGAGATCTAAATTTGTCAGAGTTGTGTTTGCTTCTAGCACGGCAGCAAGAACAGCAACAGCAGTTTCATCTGTAACTCTGCGATTCCGCGCCTGAGCCTGTTGAACTTCCAGAGATGCGCCAAATGTACGTGCCAAGTCTATATGAAAATAACAGTTTTCAATTTTGCATTCTTTAATGCACTCAAGTGCAACAGGTAAACATTCTTCCCCATCAGCTTTGTTTACCTCATTCGCTATGCAGTTTATAAGGGCTACTGCGCTTTCTTCAGACCTTACTGCAAGCAAACCACAGGTAAATTTCAATACCTCTCTTAGCTCTCGGAAATATCTTGTGTCAGTGACCAATATTTCAGGACTGGTTTCTTTGCTAACAAGCAGGCAACAAAGATAATGTCCCGCGAAGAATTCTTGGAAACTCTTATGCGTAAAGCCGTAGCACATACACGGTCTTCGTTTGCTGCTTCCGGGTTGAGCTGACAGAAACCCAAATCCAGGTAGGTCGGCATCTTTCTTTGAAAGCTTTTTGTCCTCAAAGTACATGTTGTCTTCATACAGGCCGTTTAAGGCTATCAAGCCAAAACGTTTCAACTGATCTTTGTAGATTTCAATCAAATCCTGATCATTTTCGACTGGAAGACCTTTCTTTTTCCTGTATCTGATAAGAACACATTGTACTACTTCCACGTACAACTGAGTTCTACTTTCAGGTAAAATACCTTGAAAGTCTTCACAAAGAAGGCAAAGCAGTGCAGTGTTTAATGGGTTGGCTGTCATCTCTTTAAGCCTTTTCTCATTCTGTATTTTATCCAATAGCTTTTCGGCCAAATCTTCTTTGCCGGCAAAATATTTGAGAATAAATTCTTCGCTATCTTGATAAGTGAATCCTTCAATCTCTAGCAAAGTGTCACAAACCTTTCTTATAGGTATTCCAGCCTCGTGTCGCGCGGTAACCACAAGGTGAGATAGGGGAAGCATTTTACCTTGTATGATGTCGGCAAACTCCGGCAGTTTGCTCGAAGGTAGCTCGTCCAATCCGTCAAGTATCAGTAGAAGCTTTGATTGATTTTGCCGAATGAACTCGAAGAATTTCTCTCTTTCCTTTCGGTGAATTTCACCTGGCAAAAGCTGATCATCAATGGCTTTCCAAAGGTCGGACTCGATCTCGACATCACGGCATTTTAGCAAAAGGACCAATTTAAATTCCGGAAAGCAATCTCCTTCGTTTTTTATGTTTATTGCCCAGTCGTAAGCAACCTTATTGCAGTATGTCGTCTTTCCCATTCCTGGTTTTCCTTCAATCAATATTTTTCTAGGTTGTTTGCATTCTTCGTGGGGTTTGAAGATTTCAGTCGTTTCAACAACTCTTTTCTCCGCTGTTGCTCTCGCTTTTTTCTCTCTGCTGACCATACGAAGCCGTGTATAAATATCGCTTAGCTGAAACTGAAAGTCTTCGCACCAAGGAAACGGCGCGAGCCATCCCTCATGACGTTTGTAGTTCTGACGAATGATTTCAATATGCTCGTCAACCACACCAACTGCTGTGAGAATAAACGAGAAACAAACTTTGTTGTAGATATTTGTCTAAAAACAGTTTTAGCAGACGACTGAAATTTGCGAAAATCAAGGAAAATGGACTCTGCTTATGAACTCTAGGTTAGGGTGTTTGAGGACTCTCTCGATCCCCTACTTTACCATGTAGTTGATAGAGTGTGGTGTGTGGTGCTGCAAAATAAAAAAAAAACTCGCTGAAAACTATTTTAAAAAGTTGGGCGACACCTCCATACACTTAAAACCAATATGGCCACCATGCTAGTAGGTAACCTTCGTAGATGGCATCGAAAGGGGTAGGTGATTGGGAGGAAGGGAAAAAGGGAAGGATGCGCTTTTCTTCCTCCCCCCTCCCCCTTTTGCGCCTGCCACGCAAGCTACTGATATGGCTGGCTCCAACGTCACAATCGTACGGGAAAAAAAGCGGACTATAAAAAGCCTAAAGCGTTTGTTTCTAGTTCAAGATATGTCATCCGCCATCCCACTGGCTGAAAGAATTACAATTTTAATTGAAGGCGAATAAATACAGCACTATGGGTCCTTCGATACGAAAGTGTTCTTTTGAGAGCGACACTTGTAAGACCAATGATCTCGGAGCGCTCAGCAATACTAGCTTTTAACAACTATTTTAGACGGATACTTAATTTCTAGCGGGCTACAGTGTAAGGAAACTGACCTTCGACTTTGGTCAAGGAGACAAAAGTCTTCAGCGCCTCGCTGATGTGTTTTCTTGTTCTATCTGTCAGGAAGAAGAATATACTAAGCAAAACTAAACTGTCATCACACACCTTTCATTAAGGACAATTTAAAGTGGATGTCTGGAAAACTAGGAAATAAAAATCTGAAATTCAAAACAGGAACGGGAATAGCAACAGGAACCGGAAAAAGACTTGAAATAAACGATCATATTCTGGTAGGATATAAGACATAAAATACAGCTTCCTATAAAAGCAGAGATGGTTTTTAGCCAACAACGCAATAAGAACAAATAGCAATACCAAGAATTGAGATGAAAAGAATTAATCGACCGTGGGGAGACACTTCATTAACAGCCTCCAGCCGTCTTCTAGCCTTCAGATAGTGACGACGACGCCTCCATTTCAGATCAAGATGGCTGTTTTCTTTTAAGTGATTTTGAGCGGGTGGTCAGTTCGTTTTCTGTCTATCCGAAATTTATAGACGACCACACAAGTAAATTAATAAAGTTGCCCCCGAGCTGGCAAGTGAGATTTTGAAAGAAGAGGATGTGATTTGAGATATACTATAAGTTCTGAATCGAGCATGGGAACAGCTAGTAGTGAGACAAATGAGGTACTTGAGCGAATCTTAAACTAAGCTATGGTAGATGATTCTAACCTTTTTTAGCTATATATGTATTGTGAACGAAATGTAACGTGCGGACGTGATAGAAACTCTGGTGATGTGTAACATCTTTAAGATTTTCAGGATCGTAAGATGCAAGCGTAATTACGAAGTGAATCTAATTAACCTTTCTAAACTTTTAACACGTCACACGTTTTCATTTCCACAATCAATGCAATCAGTTTAATGAGACCAGAGGTGGGGCTGGTACCCTTATTTGGGATGAGACGGGGGTACTACCTTCTTAATTAAAGCTATCGGCTGTCTCTTCTGGTAAACTTCACGTTGTATTACCGTACAATATATCTTTCCAACAATCCTGAAGTTTTTTTGGCAACCCAGCGCCACTGGGCGACTCGTTTGAACGTGATCCAACGCTGAAAATTAATGTATTGTCCCTCCCTTCCTTCAAGAGACGTATGGAGGTAAAGGGAGGAAAAGATCGCAATCTAAGGGCGATATTGCACGGGATGATTCCCAGCGACGGTTTTGAGTGTTAAAAAACAATGTTTCGAAAACGTTTCGAATTGTCGCAACATTAATTGTTACAATATTGTTACCCGATGATTCGTCGTTGCAAATCACCTCGTGTAACATACCCTTATTGAAGCCAACGATAAATATTTCTTCGTACAAATGTTAATTTTTTACGCGGTTTTTTTCTTTTTTTTTTTTTGTACAATTTATTTTAAAGTTATATGAGAATTAGAGTGCCCGTCACCTAAAATATTTTATTTTCTTGTCTGAAACTAAACCTTATTAAAATGACTTCTGCGAAAAAAATTTGCGATTTGAACAAAATACGATGTTTTTTGAATTTTTGGAAAACGTTCAAATTTACAAGGAAAGGTTACGCGAGTTCCTTAATTTACGTCACATGACGTCATCTGCGAGCCTGCTAGTTTGTGCGATCAGTGGCGGGGGTGTACCGCAAAAATGTGTAAAAAAATCGCGTTTAGTTCAAATGTAAAAATTTTTTTCGCAGAAGTTATTTTAATGATGTGTAGTATCAGGTAACAAAATAAAAAATTTTAGGTGATGGGCACTTTAAATTCAGTCAACATATATGATGTCTATCTGTCCGGCTTAAATCGGTTCCCGCTTGTTATTCTGCGGCCTCTACCAGTTCCTCTTCCGCTTCCTTTTCCTATTGTTCCTTTTCCGGACTCCGGTTTTACTGAAGTTATGAAATTTCAAAGACTATTTAAGCTTCTAAGTGGCAGTTTTCTCCATACTTGTGATCATATTAGCAAAAGCTGATTGAAAGATGTAATCAAAAGAAAGGGTGTCCAAGTTATGGAATTAACATTCGGAATTGACCTTCTTCCTCCGTTATCTTCTCGCTATTTTTTTTTCTGATTTCACTTTTTATCTGTTCTCTGAATTCATCTAAAAAGAAAATGATATGGTTTGTTTCTCACAGAACACTTAAAAAGCCATAAAATTTGAAATTCCTTTCGTTAAAACATTATTAAAGTTCGCCTGACTCAAAGAATTGTTAAATTTAGCTTCATTTCTTTGGAAACTGACCTCCATCCTCCGTAACGGAATTTCTCATAGCCCCTAGCTTCTCGCTCATGTTACCCAGTTCACTTTTCATCTGCTCTCTGAGTTTAACTGAAAAAAGAAAATCAGTAAACACAAAAATCAGTGTCCAACTTGTCAGCTGAGATAATTAGCAATTATTGAATATGGCTGAGTATGATCTGAAGAATTATGCAGATCTCGGAGAGAGTTATCCGCCTGGGATTGCTTAATTCTTCAGAGCAAACGAAGCCAGGTCCAATAATTGCTAAAATACAACTAACTCGCCAGCGATTCGTGCACACTTTATTTGTCGCAAACAAATTTTGTTTGAATGAACAACTACTTAATTTATGTTTTTTTTGTGTGTTAAGTTCACATCACTGAAACTCGCTCAGTCACAGAATCACAGCCTTAAGAAGTAAAATTGAACCTGTTTGTAATTCTTCATATGTTGGTTTATGGTTGTTAAATGTGTTTTTTTTTTTTTTAAGGGAAAAGTTTATTTTGTCTAATTCTAAGCTTTTATTTCAGCCCCACCCACACCTTCTTCTAATCATATAGTAAAGTTAAGCTCGGAAAGAAGAAACCTATTTAGTACTATAAAAAACACTTCAAAACCTTTATTAGTTAATACCTTCCATTGTATTAAGTTGGTCCTTAATGTTATCTTCGTCTTTCTTCCATTCTTTTAACAGTTCTCGGTAATGCTTCTCCTCGTCTGGATCCATAGTCTCAGTTTTTAGTCTTGTGATAGCAGCTGCATCTACACCAAGTGTAACTAGTGCGGCACTTATATCATTCCACAATAAATTAAATGTTGGATCGTCCACGGACGCCTGCTCGCCATGCCCATAGACCGAGTTCCTATAGTACTTTACTCTGGCTATGTTAGCCTCAAAACTCGTGTCTGAAGCAGATGGCAGACTATCCCAGCCTGTGGCAGGAGCAGTCAGACCACAGATGTTCCTCAGTAGCACCATCAGTAAGGTGATGTCAAAGTCTTCTGATGTCACAGATGAGGGGGGAGAGGGATACAGTTTACCCCATTGTGTAGCATTGATGATTCTCTTCTTTTTAAGGGATTGCAGAGTTGAATGTTCTGGAGAACCAGCTTTCAAAACGGTAAACAAGTTTGCTGGGGAGTGGAACTTGTCAAAGATGTATCTCAAGGCCTTGGTGCCTCCATCTACTAAAAGGCGACATAATCTTGCGTAATTAGTCGTCTCCTTGGTGGATGGAGCTAATGTTGGAGCAGAAGCCATCACAGTAATCCTGTAAGACATAGATCATTATAGCCAAACAGGAGCTAAAGTTTTACTTATGTTGAAAGTTGCCAACCATCAAAAGGCCAAAAACGTTATTTTAGATTCTGAACCTAGAACTGGGAAAAGTAGTGAGAAATGAGTAAGAAGTCGTAAACTGTCCCAAATTTTCTAGTGGAAGGACTTTCAGTGGAGATTACTTTAAAGCTGTAGCAATAAACATCAAGATCAATTTTACGATTTAGGTTTTGTAATTTCTGTTTTGTTACCGCCATTTTGAAACAAGAAAAACAGTAAGTCTGCACATTTGGAGGCAGAGGCAAGTCGCGGTAGCTAAAAAAATGTGATCAAACGCGACCACTAAGCGTTTTCTTCCGATTGAGCTAGCTATCTATTGATATCTAACTTGGAAAAGAACCCTACAGCTCCAAAAATGTTTGAAGTTTGACCTTTCGAGAGAGCGTGAGATAGGTCCTAAAATAACCCAGCTGTAAACAGAGAATTGATAATGTTCTTAAACAAATTAATTTCATATAAATTTTTTTCTCTTTTTGCAAGACTTTTCAAAATTTACATCACGCAGAGGGGTGCTGTACAAATCATCTGTTGAATAGAATTTCAATTTATGACAGCTCTCTATCTTGCCTACTTTGCCAAAAGGAGTCGGGAGATCCTTCAATACCGTTGAGAGTGTAATTTTATAATGTCAATTTGTAGAATGATTTCTTTTTTCCCTGTGAGGCTAATTTGGTTCCACCAACTAAAAAGTCCAACCAAAAAAAACAGAAGCAAGTATTTTGACCTTACAAAGCGGGTAGGAAAAAAATCTCTTGACAAGAATCAATCAAGAGTGTTTGCACTGCTGATCGTCGATGCTCGGATTACATTACAAACCAAACTTCCTCTTTCACTTTTGATATGCCAATTTGAACTTTCCTGTTCAGTTTCGATTTCCTTTGCTAATACTCAGTTCTCTTAATATTCGCTTTAATGAGAGACGATTAAATTCACAAACGTCTCAAGTTTTATTGTCAACAAAAAAAGTCAAAGTGAGGAACCACATACATACACAAGAAATGCGTGTCTGTTACTGCTGCTACCATTTCAATTTGAATTTTCGGCAGTGGTAGTGTAACTCCGAAAGAAACTACCCAAACATTGTCACCAACAGGAGTTAAAAATGAAATAAACTAAACAGTTCCGACAAAAGGTCGTTTAGGCTCAAGAAGGACCAAGAGAGGAGGCCAGTGAGGACGACTAAGAAACGAACTTCTCCTAACCACGAATTGATCACTTGTCTCGAAAGAACAGAACATGCAGCCTTCAAGTGCTCGGATACTGGCCAACAGCGGCTGTTTTAAGGCAAACAACTGACTGATAATTAAACTAAGAAGAAATATTTTGAGTTGCTTTTATCAGCCTTTATTATCATACCTCTTTACTTAGGAGAAACTACACCATCCTATGATCGGAACCTGCAAATGTGCTAGGACAACAACACTCTCGTTCAGCTCACCTTTTCTAAGATCTTCTAAGTGAAAGACTTTTCGTCGCTTATATGAATTATTACGCTTCAAGGTCCTTTAGGATATAAATCAATTCACCAGGCGCTAGTCAGATCAGTGGAAGGTTTGTATTCCTCTGCATTCCTGAAACAAACATGGCAGTGTTAGTGTTAGAGACGAGATGATCAGTCTAGACAGACGGTACAGTCACGCGATATCAATTATAATAATTGTCAAATACCTGCAGCCCAAACTGATGCCTCTTGTGGAAGAAAAGGTACTAAAGGCACGAATCCACGCGCATCAACTAAGGCGAGGACTTTTCCAGGGCCATTCTAGTTTCTTCAGACGCAACTACATACTTCGAAAAATAATGGGGCGTATCACCGTAGAAAGGTCACGAGTTTGGAGATGCCATCAATCAAACGCGACGTAGCGTGACCAAAGTTAAATTTAGACAAGCGACTATTCTAAGATCACGCGATGCATCTAATGTGATATTGTGAACAAGCCATAGATAATTGTATACATAATTGAAATAAAAAATCAGGCCAGACGTTAATGTGGGAATTTGGGGATAATCCGATGGGTTCCTATGGTGCCGTGATAGGTGCGTTCGTAACTTTGGAATGATCCGCCATTGGGATTTTTATTCTGCCATTAACTAGTAATTAATTTCAATTTTCATTCTGAAATAACCGAAGAAAATGGATCGTAAGATTCATGATCTGCCTTCGTATACGAGTATGAATGCGCTACTGTGGTGCATTTGCTCTCCAAGTGAAATCCTTCCAAAGGATACGTTTGCTGAAAGGCTGAATGGGCGGCTCCAAATGTTTCCCTTTTCATTGGGTGGGGGAAGTACGATATTGGCAGATGCGAAGATCCGATTTCCGCCTGGTAAAATGTGTCTTTATGAATGACGGAAATTTTGCACGCCCGCTGAAATTGATCTTAAGAAAGACATCGCATTCTTATCAAGAAGCTTTGTGTAAGGAAGCTTGAGTGATAATCAGTTAAGAATTTGCATTAAGGGAGATTTCTGATGGTTTTCTCATCTTTCCTTCCGGCTTGTGTCGATAAAAATTTTCCGGGTTAATTTGTAAATTATTCAAATTTCTATCACAACTGCAACGGCCGTATTTTCTTTAGCCGATGATTAACTCCAGTTTGTTTTTCTTGAGAAAATTGAAAATTGAAAATTGAAATCTAAACAACTTAAGCGAGGGGAAAAATGAAGGGAGGAATTGAAAACAATATGGAGATGAAAAGTCACTTGATGGACCTTATAAGAAATCATTTTTTGAATAGCTACAAGTCATGTATTGAAGGCAAAATTAAATTCAGTTTTTTAAAACCCCTTCTAATTTACTCAATTTTCTTTGCCTCCTATTATTAAAGCCCAGTTCATGAATAATTAAATGCAAGGTTAAGAGACAAAGGAAATAAATCTACCCAGGTTAAAAAATTTATTAACCTGAATTTTCTTTTCACCAACAAAATGCATGTCACATAATCCATTCCATACAAATAGTTCATACCTGTTCTATCATCTCTTGAAATGCAGTTTAACCAAACATCCCTGTGTAAGATGAACCACTGATCCGGCTATCAAATATGCTGAGGATTCCTGTTGCTTTCTGATAAAATAGCTAAGATTAACAATTAATACAGTACTGCAACTGCTATATGGTATGGCCTTATTAAGGAGATTTTGAGTTGGCCAGCAATATTCTGGAATTAGTTACAGTAACGTAGTTATAGACAGGTATCATCATTCAATGTATGAAAAAATGTTCACGGGCTCCAGTGTATTTAATATAGAAACAAAACGGGAAATTAGAAATCAAATTTCTCTTGGGGAGGGGAGACAAAAAACCTTAAGTTTACAATTGGTGGGGGGCCAATAAGAGCGGTGTAGGGTTTTCTGACCTTTTGCCAGAAGTGCCTTATCCCACCATACAATGTATATCATTAAGAATGTTCCACCTATAAAAAAAAAGGTTACAATTGTTCTGCCATTTTGTCGATCATCTTTAAGGCCTGATTTATATTGAAGTGTATATTATATTCAAGTCAACAATAATACGGCTTAAAATCATTTTGTTTGGAAAAAGATTTTCTTTACATTCAATATCTGTAGACTACATCAACATGAACAAGAATCAACAAAATGTTCTACGGTAAGAGCGTGCTTAGTTTAAAACTTAACAGAGAATGAAATTCAATTAACTCTCTCTAAGGGGGTGTTTACATGACACCGGGGCGACTTTCGCCCCGGAGCGAGTTCACTCCGGTTCCCTCTCATAGCTCTACATTTGTTCACATGATACCACCACAAAATGTCATGTTGGCGCAGCGTGAGTTCACCCCGGTTGTTGTACCGGGGCGAGAATTTCACTCTGGTAAGAAATCTCGCAACGGTACTTCGGTGGAAAATCGGTCTAACGGTGGACTGGAACGGGTAGCGTATGCGTAATGTTTGCGATTTTGAATCACACGTATAATTTATTGACATGAAGTGTACATTCAAATAACGAGATATGAAATGACCCAGTCATCATGTAAACAGGATACAAAATCAAAAAGTCACCCGGTATGAAACTCGCGCCGGTGCGAATTTTCTCATGTAAACACCCCCCAACATAAACATAGTGGGAATCAGGACCAACTTTAGGGACTTGTAGGTAGCTTAGTTGCAGAAAATGACTGATCGGAAAACAGCATGGTAGGGAAGCAACCAACAGTGGCCTGGGTAAAGTGTCCCTCTTATACTGTATAGGTTTCGAAAAGTGTGCTCCAGTTGATGACTGTGTTAGAATATTTGATCCTGGTAACACACATAACAAAAAAAAGAGTTCAACCCACACAAGGCACAATATTTGGTGCAGTAGATTGCTGTTGTGTTGCAGTAGTTCTAAGGTGACTGCTCTGTAAAGGAATGAGGTATTATAAATCTTTTCAATGTGGTTAAATGTAATTTAGGCTAAGTTTAACACGGAACAATGCCGGCCCATGGGTGGCCAAGGGTGGGTGCAGGAGTTCACGTGTTCACAGCTCAGCTTTAGATGTCATTACACGTTTGGTTCTCGCTATTGGGCAGTTCTCACTGATTTTACCCCTACCCTGCCCATCCCTCTTGGCATGGTAAGTATGTGGTAAATATTTTACTCTCCACTGACTTTCAGTGTGACACTGCCTGGCAGTTGCTGCTCGCAGGGTTGTCATGGATACCCTGCACGTTTGCCTCTGCTTGTCTCGTGCCTCCACCTTCTACAAGCACCTTTCTCCATGCTCATCTATTGTTGATGTGTTTAATAAAATAATTAATGTCTGATTTGATGGCAAAATAGCACGAGAGTGAGAGCATGCACCTTCCAACAAAGTGAATTAGGTATCCCAGGATTGAATACTGTGGAAGTGAATCCATACACTGCATTGAGTTTGTTATTGGTTCTCAATCCTTTGCTTATAACCATACATTCATGACCATAAATAATAATTATCAAAATTGGGAATTTACCTATAAAAAACTGCATTGACAGTAGAATCAATGAAATGGAGTAGTGTACCTCAGAATGTCATAAAATTATTTAAATGACACCATCAGTCCCCATGGTTATAATTAATAAAGCGTAAATTGAAAAGACATTGACAAAATCTCAAGAAATAGTTTTGAGTCCATCAAAACCAAGATCATGGGCTGGTGGAATGTCAATCAGACAAAAGTTCAGATTCTGGACTACAGGCACATAGCTCCTATCACTTTACACAACCAACTCATCGTAGGCTATTATTTTATATTATATAAATTATAAAATTAGTAATAAAAAAAGAGAGGCCAAGAGACAAAAAACATTGGTCTTTTTTTTACTACCATTGTAAGTGAACAACTCCTTTGAAAAACTGCACCTTATGACTTGAGGCTTCATCTGAAGACTCTGAACCAACTGTAGCCCCCTCTAACCCCCCCCCCCCCCCCTCTCCACACACACACACCCACAATCGGGAGAAAAGAGAGGAGGTCACAAATGTGCAAATGCCCAGCAGTTCCCAGGGGCGATCACCCGGGAGGCCGCTGGTAAGCGCATTAGGCTTAGGAATATCAACTCAAGTTCATCACCTAGGGAATAAGGTGCAGGATTGTGGAAAAAAAAAATTCAAAACTTAAAACATGATGGGCGAGGTAAAAATAAGGGAAGCCAAAGCAAAACTTTAGTAAGCTATGTCAAAACTACTTACTTGAACAAAGAACCGTGGAATACAGTCAACTCCCTCCAAGACGGACACCTTTGGGACCGGCACTAAGTGTCCGTCTTAGAGAGATGTCTGTCTCATAAAGAGTCAAATAAGGGGACTAAACAAAGGCAGGGACCAACTCTAGGTGTCCCTTTTACAGAGGCGTCCGTCTTATGGAGGTGTCCGTTATAAGAGAGAGTCGACTGTATCTCCTATCCGTGAAAAAAACTCTTCTACCCGGTATATTAATTTTTCAAAGGTTTTTAAAGTTTTCAATCGCTAAAAGGGAATGTCTAATTCTAGCTTGTTGCCCTTGACACTACCCTGCTGCGAGGCTTGGTCCCTCCGAGGTTGTGGAGGGTGGGGGGACTTCCCTTTGAAAATGCTCGTCGCCTTCTTAGGGGAAGAAAATGTAAGTTTAGGGTGTTCAATATTTTTAACCATACCAACCATAGGGGTATCTTCCTATGGTTGTACGTAAATAAATATCTTAATCTAATTAAGCATAAGCCACACCCAGATTGTCAGCTTGCTTTCGGGTTTAATTCTAATTTTCCAACAAGCATCTTCGTCTCATTTTCATAAGATTCCCTCGGGGTTTTGTCCTGAATGGAACTTTACACGATCAGAACACAATATATTCCCCGGCACCGTTTCAAGTATTGGCTTTCGATTCAGAAGGAGTACTTGGTAATTTTTGAATAAATTACTGTGCCTAAAAATCGATCGAATTTTTTATTGCAATGAGCGCTAGTTGTAGATAAACTTGCGTCCCAACGGACGTGACAAATCCTCTCTGTTATTCGTTTTTCATGGTATGCCGATTGCATTTAACCCTGTTCATACAAGAATATATGTGTAGGCCACGTGGAGTTAGACAGATATTAATCAATCCGCAAAGTGGGAGGCTACCTTTTTTTCATTTTTATCCCCGGTCTTGTAGTATTCCTTTTTATTAATTGTCTTAATTTTCATGTTTCAGTCTTTCGTTCAGCATGGTAAAGGATCGCTGATGTCTCCCCAATACAAAAAGAATAAAGAGTCGTGGATGAGAGGACAACAGACGTGCCCTCTTACAATATATTTTAACATGTGAACAGTAAGCTCGGACGTCGGCACACGAAGGCGCCACTGGCAGCCGCTCTAAGTCCATTTATGAGCTTACCGTACCCACCCAGCCCATGATGTGAATGACGTGATGAGTGAAGGTTGACCACTGCACCGGGGTCTACGTCTCCTACTCTTTTCGAACAGTGGTGTGGGTTCTTCTATGTCCCACAAGAACCCGGAGAGATAAGTGTAAGTGCTGTGAGACGGGACCTACGGTTTTTCGTCCTTATCCGAGAAGACTAGAAAGTCCAACCGTTTGTAGATGTCATTGCAAAGGGAGCACTTTCTTCTCAGTTATTAAAGACCCTGAGTGTTGGTCCGGCCAGGCTTCGAACCCGTGACCTCCCGCTCAGCAGACCGGCGCTCTCCCAATTAAGCCAACCAGGTGACAGAACCTGCTTTGCTGTTTCTGTAGACTGCAAGCTTGTCATCAGAGAAGCCATTTTATCGTCACACAAACCAAATACCCCGCCTTTAAAAACGTCACATTAACAATCATTATTATCACTACAGGCGGCCAAATGACAAACTGCCCTCTCTGAAACGCTCCTTTTCGCGGGCCAAACGGCAAAGTGCGCCCGCAACATGATTTCATGTTAAACATTCTTCCCATATGAAATAAATTTGTATGATTTGTCCTTATGTATTGATAATAATGATAATCACATGACTTTTGTCGGGCATATAGTTTATTTGTGTCCCTCGTAGCATCATTTGCGCCCGAGCGGAGCGAGGGTGCAAATGATGCTACTCCAAAAGTCATGTGATTGTCCTATTCTCTAAACCAGTGCTTACGCTTCTGACTCCGCGCGCACTCCTGGCTTTCATGAGCAGAAGAGCTCTGGGGTCGAGATTGATTAGTTGACACTACAGCTGCCCCTGCTCTGTATATAGTATTCTTGCTCCTTTTGTAGCTCTTTGAAATATACTGATTCATAATGAAGATGTTCACACATATTCCATACAACGGGTGAGATAAATACAGGAAATAAACGCAAGGTTTCAAGAATAGTTTATTCTAAACCATAAGAAAAGATTTAATTAAAAGTTTAATTTTTCGCTATTTCTATTTCACTTTTTACATTTAGTTCATTTCATTTGCAGGAAAGTAAGCCTTAGAAATTAAAAGGACGTTTGATAAATTCACGCTCGCGCATTCTAGTCAAACTTTATAGAGGAAGGACATCTGT